TGCCCTCTTATTTTCTTTCCTTCCTCTGTACTGTGTTGATTAGGTTGTACATCACCCTCTCAGAAATACTCCCCAGCCTCACTGCTTCCTTGATCACCTGGAGAATACCTGCTCATCTTTCAGAATTGAGAGCAAATACACTTCTCTTTCCTAGAAGCTCTTGGCTCCTTCTCTTCCTTGGTCCTCTTCCTCTCTACTTTTTCATTCCTGTGTCTAGCTTTACTTTAAGGAATCTTCTGTTGTGGCATCTGGTATCTTTTATTACAGTTATTTGTACCTGTAGACAAATGCTTATTCCCCAGGAGGATAATGTAGTGAATAAGGAACAGAAGCCTTGAGGGGTCCCTCTTTATCCCCTGGGGAAGCAGGTCTTCAACAGAAATAAACAGAGAGCAAAGGAAATAATTACAGATTGAGGTTAGTGCTGTGAAGGAAGCAAGCAGGAAATTTAGCAAGGAGATAGGGGCTACTTGAGATCCTGGCTCAGTGCTTCCAAGGCTGCTGAAAGATAAAAGAGTTAACTGAGAAGAGCAGGCAAGGGATTTGTTTCAGGTAAAGAGATCAGACTGGGTAAGGGAATGTGTGTAGTGCAACAAGACTCAAAAGGTCAGTGGGTCTTCTCTCAGGGTCTATCTTCTGACAGCTGCTGTGATCACAGGTCTTAATAGGTTTGATTTTGCATTTCCAAAGCCTGATACACTTCCTGGCAGAGAGTAAGTACTCAGAAAGTTTCTGAGGAATTTTGGTTTGATAACAACCTCTTCCTCTAATTTTTGGCTATTCTTTCCTTGTCCTGTTCTGTTTGACATTAGGTACCCTGGTTTACTGTGGCTTCTTGTTTGGCTTAGTGAACAAGTTATGTGATACCCTTAAAATAAGGATATCATAGTAACCTGAATTACTTTTTTTTTTGGGTACTGGGGATCGAACTCTGGACCTGGCGCTTGCGAGGCAGGCAGCGGAACCAATTTACTTCTTTTTTTTTTGGTACCGGAGATCAAACTTGGGTCCTTGTGCTTGCTCAGCAGGCGGTGAAACCACTGAGCTAAATCCCTGGCCCTCAATTTACTTTTAATTTTTGATGATCTTTGAAGTTTTACTGGGTCATCCTTAAGATGGTCTTTACTGGACCGGGGATTTAGTTCAGTGATTCCGCCGCCTCCCTTGCAAGTGTAAGGACCTGAGTTAGATCTCCAGTACCAAAAAAAAAAAGAAGGATAGTCTTTACTGCCTCCTTTTCTGAAATGCAGTTAATGCTCTCACCCTCCCACAAGTGACTTGCCTCCATGCTACACTTTGGGGAAGTAGGAATGACCACTTTATTTTCAGAAAACTTTGTCCCTTTTTGCTAAAAGCAGAGCCTTGAGCCTCTTGGAGAGGTTTCTTTAGATATCCAGATAGCAGGATACCCATGCCCAGTGAACTTTTTGGAGAGAGGTAGAAGCTTTAGGCTAGCTGAGTATGCAGAGACCCTTTTAAAACTTGAATGTGCCCAATGGCCTAGGAATTCAGCCTTGATTCTGTGGATCCCACCCTCGTAGACTGGTAGAAGGCACTCAACAGTGCAAATTCAAAAGAATTTGTTTGGACTTTGTCTTGAGGTTGCCAGCTTTTTATTTTGCCAAGTAAAGATACTTAAAATAAGTGTGTAATTATATACTTTTTATAGTTAATAATTCTCATGATGCAACATTCAAAACATACAAAAAGATATATATTGAATGAAATAAGTTTTATACTTCCTCTCTAGTTCCTTAACTGTCCAGTTCCTCTCCCAAGAGGCAAACCAGGTTGCTTGATCATCCTTCCAGAGATAGCCCACACATTTAAAAACAGGTGCAAATGTATTGGCTCTCTCCCCTTCCTCAGATAAATGGTAGTGATATAATGTTATATCTTAAGAGTTTTCTCCCCTTTTCTTAGAGATTTTTTTTTTTTTTTAAAGACAGAGCTTTTTTTTGTTTTGTTTTTTTTTGGTACGGGGGATCAAACCCGAGATGTTGCGCTTACGAGGCAGGAGGCAGGAGGCAGGCGGTGGAACCACTGAGCTAAATCTCCGGGCCAGGAGATAGTTTTGCTATGTAGTTAAGGAGGGATTCACTATGAATTCACTGTGTAGCCCAGGCTGCCACAGTGATCCTCTTGCCAAGGCCTCCTGAGTGCTGAGATTACAGATGTGTGCCACCACGCCCCACATTCTTAGGGATCTTTAAAAATCAGTAGAGTTGCCTTACTCTTTTGAATGGCAGCATAATATTAGTAAGGGGATTACAAAGTTATTATTGTTTTAATTTGAAAGGTAAACACTGAAAAGGTGATTTCAGTATAAAGGAAAGTGCTGTAAATTAAGTAAATTTAGTTCTGTGAAAATTTTTTTTTTTTGGTACCGGGGATTCAACTCGGGTCCTTGCAAGGCAGGTGGCAGAACCACTGAGCTAAATCCCTGGGCCAGTTCTGTAAAATTTAATTCATTGCATTAATCTAAAGACCCTATGTTTGAAAATTGTTGGTGGAGATAGTAAATAATTGAAGAGGTTTGAATGTGGTTATGTTAGGACAGATTGCTATTTTACACAGGTCGCCAGCTTCTAGTAGACTGAATGAATGAGAGAGAAGTTTATAGTTGAGATAACCATGTCCTTCTCCTCATTTTCAGAGAGGAATAGATCAGGAGACCTTTCTTGTTTCCTACAATTGTACTGTTCACTTCATTAGTTAGCCAGTCTCTTGTCAAGACATCTTGCATTTATAATGACTGTCAGTTGGATTGGAATAGAAGACTAGTTTCAGGGCTGTTTATTCCTTCTGGTAGTATTTTAATTCCTTCTGTTAATATTGAGCAAATCATGAATGCATACATAGTACCATTAGGAATTTTGAAAAGCATACCAGGTCAGATCTCTGTGAGGACCCACATGAAGTGGTGATGGCTTGAACTTGGGAAGGGACATTGGAATGGGCAACTGGAATCCGAGAACCTTGGAATCGAACATTGATAGGGCATGTGACCTCTGGGAAGAACAGAGAGATGAAAATTCATTTGATGAACATTTATTGAATGGCCAGTATGTGCAGGGTACAGTGCCAAGTCAAATCCCTCAGAGAACAATTAGTGTAAGAATGAAAAAAACACAGTATACAGACTCTAGAATGCAGACCTTTTCATTTAGAAAGAACATACTTATTAGGAGCTGGATACAAGACAAGGTTGGAAGGTGGTGCAAATCCACGTTGTATGGAAAAAACATAAGTAGACCCTAAACTTTCTCAATCTAGAATAGCAATATGATTAATACATGTATGTCTAAGAGAACTACTGTGTATAGTATTTTTCTTTATTTTTAACCACTTTTGAAATGAACAAAACATTTGCACGATTGAAAAATATTAAAAGGTATCCTGTAGAATATTTCCCATCTGTTTTGTCCTTCTGCCTACACAATTCTCTCTCTCTCTTTTTTTTTTGAGACAGTGTTTTTCTGTGTAGTTCAGTCTAGCCTTGAACTCACTATGTAGTCCAAGCTGGCCTTGAATTTGCTGTGATCCTCCTGCCTCAGCCTCTCAGGTGATGGGATCACAGGTGTGCGCCTCTATGCCTGCCCACAGTTTCCTCTTATGTCAACAAAATTTAAGTGCTGGAAACAGAAACCATTTTGGGTCTTTTAACCACAAAAGAATTTAAATCAGAACATTGGGTACTCACAAAATTATTGGAGGGGTTGGAGGAGTAGGAATTAAGGGGGCTGTCCTTAAGACTCAGTTTGGGAAGCCCATGACTGGAGCTGTGATCTGGAGTCCAGTAAATCACTACTGCCACTGTCACCCCCACCACTGCTGCTTGATACTCATGAAGCTGGTGACCAGACATTTGGCCACGCCAGCAGCAGCATCACCTGGGGAGCGTGTCAGGGCTCCTAGGCCCTAGCTTGGCCTACTGAATCAGAAGCCATATTTTAATAAGGTCCCCTGGTGCACTTGAAAGGTTAAGAGGCCCTGCAGTCGTTCATCGGGCCTGACATTAACCTGTGGGTCTCTGTGAGTTTGGTTCCCAAATGTAAGAGAGTCAAGTCTCAACCTGGATATACTTTAGTTTATAAATATTAAGTTAAACCAGGCATAGTGTTGGTTTTCCTATCTCTTAGTCTACAAGGAGGGTGAAGTGGAGGTTCCAAGAACCTTTCTATTGTGAACCGACTACACTTTTCCAAAGTAACCATTCCTGTTAGTTTCTTATGCATCCTTGCCTAGCGTGCATGAGGCACTGGGTTTAATCCCTAGCACTGCACAACAAAAAAGAACAGGTGATAGGTCACCATACACAGTATTTGGCATCATTTAATATAATAGTACATTATGGAAGAGCTTTCTGTATCATAATGTGCAGAATCATTTTTTTAAACAAGTACATAATATTCCATTATGGATTATAAAATGCTTAAAAACACTGCTACAGTCTGGTATGCATGATTATTTTAACTTATTGGCACATATTAAATATAATCTAGTTGTTAAATATTTTCTTTCTGCTTCCCACATGCTCAAGCCTTTTGTATATGTCATCTCTTCTAACTGGCACTGTAACCTACTTTACATGCGAGAAATTGGACTCTGAAAAGTTAATTTAATGTTTTATTATTGTTGTTATTATTATTATTTTGAGACTGTATTGCAGGCTGGCCTGAACTCACTCTGTAAAGTGAACCCTGAACTCACTCATTAAACTCATGACAATCCTCCTGACTCAGTCTCCCAAGAGCTGGCATGACAGGCATGTGCCACCATGCCCTGTTTAATTTAATATTTATAAACTAAGGTATATCCAGGTTGAGATTTGAACCAAAGTCTTTTACCTTCAGTAATTTGTTATTTGACCCAATTGCGCAGCATCTCTACATGATAGGCCTTTAATACTTTGATAACATGCTCTTATGGAGAGAAGTTTGGAATGATACCCTTTTGTATATTTTTGGTTAAAGGAATTTCAATTTTTTCTGACTCAGGTATCCAGCTCACATAGAAGACATTGACTACGAGGAAGGAAAAGTACTCATCCATTTCAAGCGTTGGAACCATCGTTATGATGAATGGTTTTGCTGGGACAGTCCTTATTTACGCCCTTTAGAGAAAATACAACTGAGAAAAGAGGGTTTACATGAAGAGGATGGATCTTCTGTGAGTAACAGATCCTGGGGAGTTCTGTTATAAGTGGGGTTAGCCATTGGGCAGTTCTGTTCCAGCCTTTGATTGTTTTTTTTTTTTTTGGAAACGAGGATTGAACTCCCGTCCTTGTGCTTGTGCAGCAGGCGGCGAAACCACTGAGCTAAATCCCGCGGCCCCAGCCTTTGATGTTTTATGGGAAAGTCAGTAGCATCTGGAGACTGGTCCTTCTTTTGGCTATTAGTTGTAAGCCTGAGATTTCTGTGGTACCTAGGGCTCTTGAAGAATCCCATTCTTCATCTGTTTGATGTGTTTAACGTTACAGTTTATAAAGTAACTTCATGGGGGCTGCATTGATGATGATCCAGAGACCTTATTTCTCATTCATTCTTTTTTTTTTTTTTTTGGTACCAGGGATTGAACTCAGGACCTTGTGTTTTCTAGGCAGGCGCTGGAACCACTGAGCCTGATTTCATTTATTTTTTTATTTTTTATTTTTTTTGGTACAGGGGATTGGTCCTTGCGCTTGCACAGCAGGCGGCGAAACCACTGAGCTAAATCCCCAGCCCTTCATTTATTTTTTGAGACAGGGTCTTGCTATGAAGTTCAGACTGGCCTTGAACTCATGGCAATCTTCCTGCCTCAGTCTCCTGAGTGCTGGGATAACAGGCATGCACCACCAGACCTGGCACCTTATTTCTCTTTTACACTACTGCTTTTCTAGCTTCTAGAACACTGCCTGGCACATAGTAGATCTTCGGTATATATTTGTTGAATAAAGGAATGAATGATTGAATTCTAGATCCACTGTATCTAGAACACTGTATATTAGATATTCTAGACATTTAGATCATTTAGTAAACTGCTGTCTAATCATTTCATGTGTGGATATCCCGTGTTGGTTCATATGCAGGATCTTTTATAAGGTCTTGAAGAACTTGGAACTGATTGGACTGTTGCTTTTTTTTTTTCCTAAATTACTGAACAAAAGCTCCAATGCCTGGAGCTCTTACAGTGGTATCTCCATTCATGAGATACTGAGTCAAATTTACCCAGAAGGTCAACATTGAACCTAAAACCATTAAATTTGATTCAGTTCTTGTCCATTTCGGTTTGTGATCAGAATCATGAGCAGAATTAAGTTCGTGAACCATGGTATCACTGTATTGGCTTCAAAATGACAAGTGAAGTTTTAGTTGTAAGATCTTTAAAGCAGGGCCGGGGTTTAGCTCAGTGGTTCTGCTACCTGCCTCAAAAGTGCAATGTCCTAAGTTTGATCCCTGGTACCATTAAAAAAAAAAAAAAAGATTTTTAAAACAGGTGGGCATGATAGCACACTGATCTCAGCTCTCAGCCTTCTACAGTTCGAGGCCAGCCTGGGCTATGTGGTGGTTCTAGGCCAAAACATAGACTCTGTCTCAAAAATAAACAAAAAAGATTTTTAAAACAAGCATTGAGACACTGTAGTAGTCATGCTGCTTTTGGATCTGATTCAGCCTGGGTTCTGTTTTCCATTTTAACTTTCACCAAGAACTTGAACTCTGGCTGGCCTTTTATTTTGTTTTCTTCCTCCACTTTAGGATTATTCAGTAGTGTTCCATTTGATTGTTGTTCAGTAATCATTCTACAGAATTTATCAATGCAAATGGTGTTTTGGGAGAATGAAATAAGATAGTAAAGGTGAATGGATGCTTCCCTAGGTAAAAGACCCTTTAGAAGTGTAGGGTGGCATTAAATAGCAGGAGTGTTGCTTTACTGAAGATGAAGTAGGCTCATGCCTTCCAGCTCCTAAGGTGTGTGTGTTCTCCTGTTGTCTGGAACTCTTAGCTTCACTCTCAGGGTGCATCCTGGATTTGGGAGGAATTTCAGTGTGTTGTGGCTGCCCAGGCCTCTGCTCTTGGTGAGATGTTGTTGCCCAGCTCTCTTGTTTTGTCTCCCAGTGCTGGACAGCAGAGTCATCTTCCTTCATCTCAATAGGCCATTCCCTTTCCAACTCTCTTATCAATTCCAGCCTCTTTTATAAATTCTAATATAATGTGTGTCCTATAAAATTTAATTTATGACAGGATTTTTTTTTAATGTTTTCTAGGAATTTCAGATAAACGAGCAGGTCCTTGCTTGCTGGTCTGATTGTCGTTTTTACCCAGCCAAAGTCACTGCTGTTAACAAGGATGGTAAGGCATTTGATTTGTATTTATTTTTACTAGTGACTTGGGAGGAGTTTGTAATATGAGAGTTTAATAGTTTATTATTAGTATTTATTGCCTGGGAATCCTCTTCAAGGTCATCAGCATGCCAGTAATTGGGAAGAGATTATAAATGGAAAGAAAACTGAATAAAAAGGAGAGTTTGTTACTTTCTGAAACAATCTATCATTCTGCTGGGACTGTACAGGTCCTCTCATTGTCTGGGACAGTGATGGCAAACCTTTTAGAGCTTTGAATGATACAAAGAGCCTGCTGTGGCATGTGTGCCATAGGTTCGGCACCGCTGGTCTAGGACTTCCTAATATAATTGGTGAAATAAGCCTCTGTTGTTCCTTTTACTTATTTCTGAATAGGCTGGAAACTAAATGAACACCAACAAACATGTAAAATTTGTTTTGTGTTGCTGGGTGCAGTGATGCACACTTGTAATTCTGGCACTGAGGTAGGTTGAGGCAGAAGGACTGCAAGTTTAAGTCTTACCTGGGCAACTTAGTGAGACTCTGTCTTGAAAAAAAAAGAAAGTGCTGGGGAATATAGTTCAATGGGAAGGCCTTGGTTTCAATCATCAGTACTGGAAAAGAACAACAGCAAAAACCAAGTTTTTTGGATACAAAGTGATTGAGGGTAGAAATCAAGATACTGGGACACAAAGCACTATGTTGGGTTGCCTTTGCCAGAGTTTACAACATGTGAGGAGACAGGACAAGAAACTTGAACCAGAGAGGCTCATTTTGGTGGCACAAGGGTAGGAGAAGGGTTAATGAGGATAATATGTGTGATCAGAGTCCTGACACTTGGTGAACAAATGCTGGGTCCAAGTGATAACTTTTTCAGTGTATTCTGCTAGAATGTTTATGATATGGCCTTGATCTTTGAGGTGAATGTTTAGAGCAGTCAGGGCTCTTGGTGCCACTGTTAGAAGTGACTAAAACGCTAGATTTGAGAGGTTGGGGAGTTTACTCAGTGGTAGAGTGCTTAAGAAAGCTTGTACAAGGCCTTGGATTTGATCCCCAGTGCTGAAACAAAACAAAACAACAAACTAGAAAGCAAAGATTGATTTTTCTTTCAGTGATGTTTTTCAAGTATTTATTCAGTACTGTGTTAAGCACTGGCCCTAGACTGACCACATTTTGTCTGAGATGGTCCAGCCAGGTGTGGCTGGACACTCCTATAATCCCAGGACTCTGGGAGACTGAGGCAGAAGGACCATAAATTCAAGCCTAGTCTGTGCAACCTTGTCTCAAAATAAATAAAAGAAAGGCTGATATGTAGTTCAGTTCCAAGGCCTTGGGTTCATTTCTCAATACCGTAAAACCAAAAACGAAAAAAAGAAAATCTCCAAAGCAAGATTGTGTCCTCTGAATTGCCTAAGCACTTTCTGATTTTCCAGGTCATGGCTGATGAAGTCCTTTTCAATAGCTTATTTTCCTGAATTATTTTTATAAGCATGTATTCAAAATCATTGTTATTAATTGCTTTTCATATGTTTCACATTAACCTAAAAAACTTATTTTTGGAGAAAGCTTACATATTATTAATCTACAAATCCTTCTTAGTAACAGACATACTTGGGTATCAAGAAGAAAAAAACATAGTTGCCTTTTTGTTTATTTTATAACATTTTTAAATTAAAATTTTTTTGTTTTGTTTTGAGTCAGGATCTTGCTCTGTAATTCAGGCTGGCCTTGGACTCACTATGTAGCCTTGGCTGGCCTTAAACTCATGGCAATCCTCCTGCCTTAGCCTCCCAAGTGCTAGGATTACAGGACTGCGCCACCTTTTTAGATTTCTTTTTCCTTTTAAACTTTTTATTAATATGTTTTTAATACATAAAAATGAATTCATCATGGTAGATTCTTGTTTAAAAATTTTTTTGGGGGGCCCTGGGGATTTAGCTCAGTGGTTCCACCACCTGCCTCGCAAGTGCAAGGTCCTAAGTTTGATCCCTAGTACCCCCCCCCAATTTTTTTTTAATCCCACTGACTTTTGAAAACACATGTGTCTTTATGTACATAAACGTGTTTCTGAAAAATCTGCAGGTTGATTTATGTCATGTTCTCTCCCTAAATACTATATGTTGGAGTATACTCCTTAAGGCAGTGGCTGTCCTTTTAACTCAGATGAAAGCTCTAAGTAGTAGCATAAGTAACTCTTTCAATAAAGGAGGTAACAGGTAGGAGAAAACATTTCTCTTTGGTTCCAGTGGTATCGTAGAGTTGGGGGACAGAAACAGGACAAAGAGGTTGGATGAGGGAATGGCAAGGAAAGGTAGGTTGAGGAAGAGTGTTTCAGGAACCTTGGGATTAGGCTGTTAGAGGAGTAGAGGGTATCTTGGTGGAGGAGTGAATCATCTAGTATCTGCAGAGCTCAGAATTTGGGATTGTGGATTGGAAAAAATAAAAAGACCTGGTACAAGGCAAAGTGAAGTCAGTGCTGAGATGGAGCTACCAGTAGGAAGCAAGGAAGGAGTAGGGTGATGTGGATGGATCGTAAGAAAGGGAGAAGGGCACCTATTTAGAGGGTTTTGGGAGAGAGGTGGGTCTAAAATGTTTCAAATTAGTTATTTTAAGGACCAAAAGTCACTGGCCATATTATTGGTTACAGTTAATTAGGGTTTTTAAAAAAATTGTTATTGGTAATTGGACGTAGAGCCTTGTGCATGTTAGGTGACCACCCTACCACCGAGCTACACCCCCACCCTCCCCCCAAGATTTTTTTTTGAATTTTGAGAAGGGTCTCATTAAGTTGCCCAGGCTAGCCTGCCTCAAACTTGAAATCCTCCTGTCTCAGCCTTTCAGGTAGCTAGGATTACAGGTGTGCACCACTATATCCAACAAATTGGGTTTTTTAATTTGTTTTGTGTACTGGGGATTGATCCCAGGACCTTGGGACTAAGTGACATTCTCATCTCTTTTTTTATTTTTTGAGACAAAGTCTTGCTGAGTCACTAAATTGCCCAGGGTGGGCTTGAATTTGTGATCCTCTTATCTCACCCTCCCCAAGTGCTGGGATTACAGACCTCTGCCACCATGTCTAGTTCTAATTAGGGTTTTAAAATGACTTCTTTGTTATTATTTTTTGGTACTGGGGATCAAACTCAGGTCCTTGCGCTTTTGAGGCAGGCGGTGGAACCACTGAGCTAAATCCCCGGCCCTAAAATGACTTGTAAAGCCAGGCATGGTGGCACATGCCAGTCCGGTAGTCCCAGCACTTGCACACGGGAGGCTGAGGCAAGAGGATTGCCATGAGTTCAAGGTCATCTTGAACTACCAAAAAAAAAAAAAGGCTTTTAAACTGGGGCAACCAGAGCACTGGAAATTAAAAGAAGAAAAAATTTTCATTTATGTTTCCTTTATGCTCTAAAATTAAGAGTCTTTAGGTTATGACTGTTCCTAATGTGGTCATTTGCCACCATAAAATATCAGTTCCATAAACTCTGAATTCTATTCAGTGAAGTTTAGTTAGTTGAAGGACATGAGTGAATGGAGATTTCTTCCAAAACTTATTTTCCTGAAATTCTTAGGCCAAAGTTCTGTATTGTGATGCCAGCCTTGCTGATTATTGAGACTAATTGGAAGTGGGAGGAGAGGACGGGGCAGGGAAATCCTGAATGGGGAATGTAGTGGCACAGCATGGGTGGTGTGATAGCTATAGTGTGGGTAGTGAAAGCTGCTTTTATGGGAGCTCAGATCTGTGCCTGATTTGCAGATGAAGACAAACATTTTTTAAATTTTATTTTTCCCTTGCATGCTGGGGATGGAACCTATACCCTTGCACATGCTTGGCAAGCACTCTACTGCTTAGCTATATCACCAGTTCAAGGCAGTGATTGTTAGGTGCTATATTTGGGGTTAGATTTTTTTTTTTTGGTACCAGAGATCGAACTCGGAACTTGAGTTTGCAAGGCAGACGCCGGAACCACTGAGCTAAATCCCCCCGGCCCTGGGGTTAGGTTTTATCCTTACCTGCTGGTGTACACTTTCTGCTTTTGTTTCATTGTAGTATTTGTGGGATTGAGAGCTGTAACTTTGGACACTCTTCACTCCTTCCCTGAAATTACCTGCCCCACTTTAGTTTTGTCAGTAGAAAGGGCCACCACAGCTTAATGCTGCTGGGAGGAAGAACTCTGCTGGCACAGTGCCTCCTCTACTTCCTGTAAATGGCTTGGTCGTGCTAGGAGGAGGTTGGGAATAGTGAAGTGACGCCTTGTAAATTCATCTATTGGCTGATTTACTTGCTGCTTTTAACCTTGGTGGTTGTGCTCAGGGTGAGTGAGCGAGCAGTGGCTTACTGGCTAGGGGTGGGATTCTGGCCAGAGTCAGGAAGCAGTGGCTGTAGGCTCTAAGGAGTCTGGCATGATTGAATCAGAACTAAATAACAAGTTGAGTTTCTTAGGGCTTGGAAAATAGGAAGGGCAGTGCAACATTATTTCATTCTTTTCACCTGGAATGGTTCTTTGGCAGTGGAAAGTAAGCCTCATTTAAAGCCTCTCTTAAAATGAAGGCAGCCACAGTTCCTATCCTTGTTACACCCTCAGTCTGTGTTGGAGTTAAACATGGGTTTCTGCTTTTAGGGAATCACCATTTCTGGTGAGTTGACCTCAGCTTTTGGCTGGGGCTGTTCAGCCTCCCTTGTTTTACCTGGGGGAAACCAGAGCCACTTGTCTTCCAGGGCTCTGTGCCCTTTATAAAGGACTATTTTACCCTCAAGGAATTCTCTCTGGGGAAACTGCAAGTAGGTTAAAATGACAAAATGGGGGATTGTTCCCTTGCTGTTGATCTGTGGTACTTTAACATGAGTGAGGAGATAAATCAGGTTTCTCTTCCTAAAAAATACTTTTAGGTCATGTGTTCCCCTCCCCTCCCTGTTCAGTCTCTTTGGGCCAGTGCCTAAAGTTTATAACAAGAGATGCTGTGGAAATGGTTTTACTTATCAAATCTCCAACTGTACCAGTTACTATTTTTTCA